AGCTATTTACTATATATAACTTTACCAGATTTAACCATCCACTATATATAACTATTTACCATATATAGCTTTACCATATATAATGACCAAGTTATAAATAAACAACTGGCTCCCTAGACCAAGTTATAAATAAACAACTGGCTCCCTAGACCAAGTTATAAATAAACAACTGGCTCCCTAGACCCAGTTATAAATAAACAACCGGCTCCTTAACCTAACAATAATAATAGGCTATTTGCTTATCTTATTCCCTAAGTAGCTTCTAAAGTAATGGGATTGTTTATTCACTATGCTAAAGAGTGCCTTTAACTATTTTAAATCACTTTTCAAATCTTCATAATATTTGGCTAAATATCAGCCATTATTTTTGTAGTTTAGAATCCTTTAAAGTGCTTTTGAAGGAAGCATTTCATTAGTTTTTTTAGAACATGATGCTTGAAATTCTGAATGCTTGGGGTTGCTGGATTAGATTTCTTGTGCATACTTGTTTGTCCTATTCGATAGGTATGTTAGGAATCACAAACCTTCATAGTGATATGATGTTGTCCACTTTGAGCGTAAGCTCCGTGATTTTGTTTTTAATTTTTCCAAAAGGCCTCATACCAATGGAGATAGTATTCCTTACTTATAAACCCACGATCAACCCCTTAATTAGCTGATGTGGGACTCCTCTCCCAACAATTCTCCCCTCGAACAAAGTACACCCTAAGGCGTACGGAGCCCTCGAACAAAGTACACCATTTGTTCGACGCTTAGTCACTTTTGGCTACATTTTCGAGACACACACTTCTTTGTTTGACACTTGAGAATTCTATTGACATGGCTAAGTTAAGAGCATGACTCTGATACGATTGCAATAGTGATATTGGGGAATCATTTACGAATAGATTCATTACTTGACGTATTTCTACTAAATGTTTCAGTTTTTTCTATATGGCTTATTGGGGAAAGCTGCGAATCCTTGAGGCTTTAGAGAAGAATCCAATGGGAAGGAATAAAGCGAAGCATAACTTGAACCATGTCAAGAGAAAAGGTATATTCAATCAATTCCTCAGCTTTTTTTTAATTATATATGTGCAAAAGTTTTTCACACACGAGGAAAAAAACTCTCCTTCTTTTCCTTCCTTTTCAATCATGTCAAGAGTTTCTTTAGCCATTCATCTTTTTATATGCATCCTCCTTCCTACATTACGAGTTTCGTGCATCGATGTTATCTACCCGAACGAGCAAAATAACGTTACACAGTCCATGATTTCTCAGATTTGTTCCGATATGGAAGATCGAAATTCGTGCATTTCGAACATACAACATGAGCTAGGAAGAAGTGTGAACTCCAATCCAAGCTCTGTCTTGAGTGCTGCGATTAGAGCGACGCTTAACGAAGCGAGACGAGCCATAGAGTCCATAACAAAGTTCAGCACGTTCTCGTTTAGCTATCGGGAAGAAATGGCGATCGAGGACTGTAAGGAGCTTCTCGATTTCTCTGTTTCCGAGCTCGCTTGGTCGTTAGCCGAGATGAAAAGGATTCGTACAGGCAAAAATGAAGCTCCGGATGAAGGGAATCTAAAAGCATGGCTGAGTGCCGCTCTTAGCAACCAAGACACATGCCTTGAAGGCTTTGAGGGCACGGACAGACATCTTGTGGGCTTCATTAGAGGTAGTTTGAAGCAAGTTACGCTTCTCATTAACAATGTCTTGGCATTGTATACTCAATTACACAGCTCGCCGTTTCAACCCCCACCGAATGAAACGATAGAGATAACCAAGAGTTCGGAATTTCCAGATTGGATGATGGATAACGAGCATGAGCTCGTGAAATCTCATCCACGTAGTGCTCATGTCGATGCAATTGTTGCTTTGGATGGAAGCGGAGATTTTCGTTCCATCACTGAGGCGGTAAACGAAGCTCCAAATTATAGCTATAGAAGGTACATCATATATATAAAGAAGGGAGTTTACAAAGAAAATATCGACATGAAGCGAAAGAAAACCAACATAATGTTTATTGGAGATGGTATCGGAGAAACGGTAGTGACGGGAAGTCGCAATTTTCTTCAAGGATGGACTACGTTCAGAACTGCAACGGTTGGTGAGTAGTTCTATGCATGATTTGTTAAGTATCGTTGGGAGGGAGTCCCACGTATAAGTCAAGAATATTATCTCCATTGGTACGAGGCATTTTAGGAAAGCAACGAGAGCTTATGCTCAAAGTGGATAATGTCATACGTGATTCCTAACATGATGTTGTTTTGACTCCGTCTATGTTTTTCTATGTAGCTGTTTCCGGGAAGGGATTCATAGCAAGAGACATGACATTTCGCAACACAGCTGGACCACAAAACCATCAGGCAGTGGCACTTCGAGTCGACTCTGATCAATCAGCCTTCTATCGGTGCAGCTTCGAAGGCTATCAAGACACACTCTACGTCCACTCCCTACGCCAGTTTTACAGGGAATGTAACATTTACGGCACGATAGACTACATCTTCGGCAACGGGGCAGCAGTGTTCCAAAAATGTAACATCTACACTAGAGTTCCGCTCCCGCTTCAGAAGGTCACGATCACCGCTCAAGGTCGAAAATCCCCCCACCAGAGTACAGGGTTTTCGATCCAAGACAGCTTTATTTACGCAACTCAACCAACATATCTTGGAAGACCATGGAAGCTATACTCAAGGACGGTCTTCTTGAACACTTACATGAGTGGCTTGGTACAACCTAGAGGATGGCTTGAGTGGTATGGTAACTTTGCTTTAGACACATTGTGGTATGGAGAGTTTAAAAACTATGGACCCGGTGCACCCCTTTCGGGTCGGGTCAAATGGCCCGGGTACCACAATATCCGAGACACCGCTGTAGCTACGTTCTTCACTCCTATGCGCTTCATTAACGGTCGAACATGGTTACCAAAAACCGGGATTAAATTCACATTGGGATTGAGTAATTAAACATCATATGTTATAGGCTTAGAAATTTAAATCTTTGGATATGTTTTTCGTTTAAAAATATGATGAATGTATCAACAATAAGTTCTGAGTGTTCTCGAATATTTTCAAGTATTTAAATTTTTGTCTCGACGAACTTCTATTCTTAACAAAGCTACAACACCATTTGGTGGTAATCACTGTGTGCATCAAAGTGTTCTCTGGCTCATTAGTCCTCTCTTTCATGACATTCTCTACACTATATGGCGCCGTGAGTCTCGATGGGGTGGTTGTTGGCGTCGTGCTCGTCACAAGGTAATTCAACAGTCTTTTCTTCTTCTCCCTCGTTTTTCCTCTGTATCCTACTATTTTTCGTTGCAAGTGGATTCTAGGTACTTCTGAAGGTTGTTGGCGTCGAAGAAACGTGTAGGGTGAGGGTACGAGAATCCCGGTGAGTCGTCGGAATTTTCGCCCCCTTTTTCCTTACACAAACATAAACAACTTAGTGGCTTGGCGGGGTTCTAGCTACTTGCACATCGAGACTAGTTAAACTTAAAAGTATGATTGTTATGCTTCAAGGTAAATTTGAATGGACAATCGAGGCAAAAAATGTGTCGATAAAATATGATAAGAAAGACTGATCTTATTTATTAAGACAATAAACCTGTTGTTACGCTTCTACATCAAAGTGAGCTATAGTACTCAATTTTTTTTTTTGTTCGTTTTAATGCCTATTGGTATTCCAAAAATCTCTTTTCGAAGTCCGAGAGATGAAGAAGCATCGTGGGTTGACCTATAGTGCAACTTGTTAGATATATTGGGTTATATGATATTTCTCCGTTCTCTCCCCCGATCGACGTATCCTCTCTTTCGCCCAAGACAAATTGATTTAGTTATAAAAAATTTGGAGCGTAAACTGGTATCGAGATTAATATTATCAATTAGAATAATTTATGATCCTCTCGACTGTACTAATAAAATAAAGTATCCCGGCTCAGCTTAGAAAAAAGCCCAATTAGAAATTTGGAATATGAGTATCAAAAGCCCATAAAATTTTCTATGTTAAGTAACAATGACCTTGCAAATGGCTACTCACCAAGTATTTTTATACTCACTCATGCTATTCTTCTCTTTCCAGATCATACCGAGTTTCCATAGCTTCTGACAAAGACATTACAAAGCAGTAAGACTAGGATACTTCTTTTTTACATCTTAGGTTTAGATTTGTATCTATTTGGTCTCAGACATTAAACATTATCTAATACGTCTCGACTCAAAATCTTTAATTTTAATAGCAATATTTTTATATTTTCATTATACCCATATCTTAAATTTAACCTAACGGTTAAAAATTGAGATTCAACTGTTCATAAATGTGATCGAGAGTTATTTATGACTAGCTCACATATGTATCATAGTTGATAGACATACAGTCACGACACATTATCAACTACCCCTAGATATGAGTGAAAGCTATTTATGGCTAGCCCACATATATATATATCACTATACGACACATTTTCTATGTTAAGTAACAGTGACCTTCCGAGGAGTTCGAGGAGCATTTTATACTCATTAATACTATTCTTCTCGTTCCAGACACAAAGTCATTACATAACAATAATACTGTAATAATTTTGGTCTCCTACATTAAACAATATCTAATACGCCTCTCCTCAAAATCTTTAATTTTGATAACAAAATTGTTTAAAAATGGACAAGGGCAAGCTTCCATTTTTAGTAAAGAAAAACAGAACAACCTTAAATGTCTCTTAGCTCCTGTCTTGTGTGCCACCAAGTTTTGAGGACAGCTTCAATAGAATTTTGAAACCAAAGGGTTCAGCTTCTTTATAAGCTCTTCCACTCTTCAAATCCTCATCAAACCCACATCTAGAAGGGGCTTCTAAGAGGAAGGTCCCCAACTAGCGTCAAAACCCTTTTTTTTACTTTTTACTTCTTTTAATAAAATTTTCACCCTCTTTTTACCCTTCTTGAGGGAGAGATTGTACAAACAAAGGAGGACAAAATAACCCCTTTTGGGTAATTCAAGGTAAAAAAAAAAAAAAAAGACACAACATGGCTTATGATGAAGATGATTCTGGGAACAATAAGAGATACGCCATCATCGGTGTCTCGTCGATGTTACTAGTCGCAATGGTGGTGGCAGTCACGGTGGGCGTTAACCTAAACAATGACGAAGCGGGCGGTCCGACCTCTGGAACCAAATCCAATGAAATATCTGCTTCGGTGAAAGCCATTAAATCCATTTGCCAAACCACGGATTATAAAAAGGACTGTGTTGATAGTCTTAAGTCTAATGCTAACAACTCTGCTGACCCACATGAATTGGTTAAAGCTGGGTTCAAAGCTGCCATGAAGTTACTCCAAGCCGCTGCTAAACAATCTGTCACCTTGCAACAACTTGAGCAAGACCCTAGAGCCTCCCAAGCCCTTGCTGGCTGTAAGGAGCTCATGGACTTCGCCATCGACGAGCTTAAATTCTCAATGAGTAGGTTTGGTGATTTCGACACTACGCACCTCGATGAAATGTTGATCGATCTTAAGATCTGGCTCAGTGCCACCATTACGTACCAGGTAATCTTACGTGGGCGAGTTTTGTTCGTTTAAAGTTGATGGGTTATGATAAATTTTTGAATTGGTGTGGGAAACTATTACCTGGGCGAGTGTTGTTCGTTTAAAGTTGATGGGTTATGGTAAATTTTTGAATTGGTGTGGGAAACTATTACCTGGGCTGAGTGTTGTTCGTTTAAAGTTACGGGTTATGGTAAATTTTTGAATTGGTATGGGAAACTATTACCTGGGCTGAGTGTTGTTCGTTTAAAGTTGATGGGTTATGATTTATTTTTGAATTGGTGTAGGAAACTTGCTTGGATTCGTTTGAAAACACGACGGGGGATGCGTCGGAGAAGATGAAGAAGGCATTGAAGACGTCGATGCGGTTGAGTAGCAATGGATTGGCGATGGTGACCGAGATCTCATCCATGTTGACAGATTTGAAGGTGCCAGGGATCGGCCGACGGCGACTTCTTGATGCTCCTGTTGTCGTCGGGCATGAAGATTACCCCGAGTGGGCGGACCCCGGGATACGGCGGCTACTGGCGGCGAAGGGGAATGTGAAGGCAAACTTTGTGGTGGCTGTGGATGGAAGTGGGGATTTCAAGAGCATTCAATCAGCTATTGACAAAGTTCCAAAGAGGAAGAACAACGAAACTTTTGTGATTCATATCAAGGAAGGAGTGTATAAGGAATACGTGACCATTAAAAAATCCATCACCCATTTGATGCTCATCGGCGATGGCCCGAAAAAGACGATCATCAGTGGCCATAAGAACTTCTTCGATGGCATTACCACATTCAAAACTGCAACCGTTGGTTAGTATACTAATTTCGTAGATACAATTCAACATTTTGTTCGTTCGGATTTGATTTTGTCATAAAATTAGGTTTATCTTTTCATAACTCTATAGTTTGAATTAGGTTATCTTTGGATGAGCTTGCATTGCTGATATTGACACGAATTAGGATATCTTTGGATGAGCTTGCATTGCTGATGTTGACCCGAGTTAGGATATCTTTGGATGAGCTTGCATTGCTGATGTTGACCGAGTTAGGTTATCTTTGGATGAACTTGCATTGCTGATATTGACCCGAGTTAGGTTATCTTTAGATGAACTTGCATTGCTGATATTGACCCGAGTTAGATTATCTATGGATGAACTTGCATTGCTGATATTGACCCGAGTTAGGTTCAAATAATTGCATGATATTAGTTCAAATAATTGCATGCAGCTGTGACGGCAGAGCACTTCCGGGCAAGAGACATAGGGTTCGTGAACACAGCAGGACCACACAAGCACCAAGCAGTAGCATTACGAGTCCAAGCAGACAAAGCCATATTCTTCAACTGTGAGATGCATGGCTACCAAGACACACTCTACGTCCACACCATGCGACAATTCTACAGAGACTGCATCGTCTCTGGCACCATCGACTTCATCTTCGGCGATGCAGCCGTCGTCTTCCAAAACTGCATCTTCCTAATCCGCAAGCCGCTTTCAAATCAACAAAACATCGTCACAGCACACGGCCGGAAGGAGCGCCGACAACCCTCCGCCCTAATCATCCAAAACTGCACCTTCAAGGCGGACACGGACCTCGCCCCAGTGAAAAATGTGTTCCGATCCTTCCTCGGGAGACCGTGGAAGGAATATTCAAGAACAATCATCATGGAATCATACATCGACGATGTGATTCATCCAGACGGGTGGCTGCCGTGGAGCGGCGACTGGGGGTTGAAGACATGCTTTTACACGGAGTTTCGGAACTACGGGCCAGGGTCGGACACGTCGAAGAGGGTGAAATGGAGGGGGGTGAAGGTTCTTACGCCGGCGCATGCGGTGGATTTCACGGCGAGCAGGTTTTTATTGGGAGATAGATGGATAAAGGCCACCGGAGTACCGTACGCGCCGGGGTTGACAATGAGAAGACACAGTGAGGTGTAGCTTATTGATTTTGGTGAGCAACATTTTTAATTCTTTTGAAATGGCGGCCGGCGACCAGGCTTAAGGCCGTAAGGGCCGTGTGTAGAGTTTTGTTTTTTTTTTTTTTTTTTTAATTTATAATTTTATTTATTTTTATAAAAAGGTTTATTGTTTGCAATTCTTCCATTTTGTAAGAGTTTGGATTCGGACATTTTCCCCCCATTTTATTATTAATAAATCATCACTTAGTTACTTCTCTTATGGTTTCTTCGAACAATCTATGGTTTCTTGGAACAACCTGATCATCATGTATCAAACAACCTGATCATCATGATACATGATCGAGCCAACCCGATCGTCATGACACATGACACGGGCAGAGCCAAGAGCCAACCCGATCGTCAAGACACATGACACGGGCAGAGCCAAGAGCCAACTCGATCGTCATGACACATGACATGGGACAGAGCCAAGAGCCAACCCGATCATCATGACACGGGATAGAGCCATCATGACATGGGACAGAGTCAAGAGCCAACCCGATCATCATGACACGGGACAGAGCCAAGAGCCGACCCGATCATCATGACACAGGACAGAGCCAAGAGCCGACCCGATCATCATGACACGGGACAAAGCCAAGAGCTGACCCGATCATCATCATCATGACACAGGACAGAGCCAAGAGCCGACCCGATCATCATGACACGGGACAGAGCCAAGAGCTGACCCGATCATCATCATCATGACACAGGACAGAGCCAAGAGCCGACCCGATCATCATGACACGGGATAGATCCAAGAGCCGACCCGATCATCATGACACCGGATAGAGCCAAGAGCCGACCCGATCATCATGACACGGGACAGAGCCAAGAGCCGACCCGATCATCATGACACGGGACAGAGCCAAGAGTCAACCCGATCATCATGACACGGGACAGAGCCAAGAGCCTACCCGATCATCATGACATGGGACAGAGCCAAGAGCCGACCCGAGCCAACCCGATCATCATGACACAGGACAGAGCCAACCCAATCATCATAACACAGGACGACACAGGACCGAGCCAGAGCGGTCTAGCAAGTGAAGAATCTTTGTTTATAGCTTCACGATGAAGATATGCCGACATTTACTCTTTGGTAGTCTATTTTCTATTACCGCCCAGCAGTTATTATCCCCATTCAATTCTCTCCCACATGGGGAGGTGAATGTGTTATAATCCAATCTGTACAGATGCCTAGTTTGATCTGTTTTTAAACGAGGTTCATTTGTTCCAAATCAGAACGAGGAACAACTTCGTTCATTTATTCTAGATCTGGAACGAGGGGCGTCCCTTGTCTTAGGGAGAGATGTCGGAAGAAGACGTGCTTCATATTTTATGGGATTCTTAATTTATACTTTTCATGATCATGTCTGAGTGAGTGGTGTTGCTTATTTTCTAGTACCTCTTCTCAAAGTGAGCTTGAAGAGTTTGGCCATTCAAAGCGGCATAAGAAGAATGGTAGAACGAAAACGGTAGATGTTTTTATACAACATTTTTCTTTTCCTATTTGGCTTTGTGGTTTCACTTGTGGATTTCTCCTTGTTATTGTTATTATCTCTTTGTGCATCTTAGGATAAGAAGAGGGAGCGAAGTAAGAAACATCACCATGAAAGGCGTAGGAACAAAGCTAAAGAGGTGTCAGGCCGATGGCATAGGCTAGCAGGCCGATGGCAGCTCTAACTCATCGCAATCCTGCGACCCCCAAGAAGAAATTGTTGTGTGCCGAAAGCGGAAGAAATGTACTCACAACACCAATGAACAGAATTGCACAAAGAGACACCAAGATATTTACGTGGTTCGGAGAGAAGAAGTTCCCCTACATCCACGGGTAGCAACCAATCTAAGAATGTTTGATTAATCCACCGCACCTTAAATGGTGTGAAAGCATCTTATTTATAATCAAATAAATTACGGCTTTGAAAATAATAATAAATGAAAATAACAATAAATGAAAAGAGATAACGACTTTGGAAATAATAATAAATGAAAATAACAATAAATGAAAAGAGATAACGGCTTTGAAAATAATAATAAATGGAAATAACAATAAATAGAAAGATAACTCTGCTAATAAGGAAAATATTAGATATTAGATATTTGCCTTATAATAAAATATCAAATATAATATATATGGTAAACTATAATTTATTACTAAATATTCTTAACACTACTCACAATAACGAAATTTACCTCAAGAGTGAAATGAAGGAAAAAATAGGGAGAGGACAAATCTTTCTACTCTGAAAAGAAAGATGGAAAGAGGGGAGTTGGCTGATAAAGATGGACAGTGACGATTGCGTGACGAATAGGGGGTCCTTGAAGAACAGGTCCAGGCCGAAATCCTCCGCCGTAAGCTAAGCGTCGGATTTAAACGAACGTGAAGCTTGAATCTGAAAAATTCAAAGAGGTTGAGAAACAATTTTTGTGAAGATATCAACAACCTGGTTCAGAGGAGGTGTAGAGAAACACTTTCTTGGCCATCGAAAATTGTAGAGGCACACTTTCTTGGCCATAAAAAATTATAGAGGGATCGCCGTTCAGCGGTGATGCTACCATGGCTTCAGCGAGAATATGTCTAACCCATGAAGAGGGATTGTCGCTTAGCGACGATGCTGTCTTGGCTCTGGTGAGAATATGTCTAACCCCAAGAAGTAGAAGGGGAAACCTAGAGCAAGGGACAAAGACAATGTTGAAGCCTGAAGAGTTGCCACATTGGGCGAAGGAGCTAATTTTGGCAGGAAGGGCGGCAACAACTTGATTGGCAAAGAGGCCAGTGCAGCACCTAGATTTCGAAGGTAAATCTCTGCAAAAGGTTGATGGGCTTGTCGATATTCCATATATTTCTGAAGAGAACACTGATGAGGATCCTGAGATTAGGGTTTCTGTGAAGGATGAAGGGTTGATTGGGAAGAAAATGAGAGAGACTATATTGGCCAAGGGGAAAACCGATTGGGTTGGAAAAGGTGAGGTTGTATGTACAGAGTATGAAGAAAGGTGTTTTAGAGGTGGAAAACCGATTAGGTTGGAAAAGGTGAGGTTGTATGTACAGAGTATGAAGAAAGGTGATTTGGAGGTCAAGAGGGTGGAACCGAAGAGTAATCAATCGGCTCCACCTGTGGTAGCCATGAAGACTGCCCCTACGGCGTCAAAGCCAGCAGGGGTGGTGGAGGAGAAGATTAAAGGATTCAAAAGTCATTGAAAAGAAAGGATCAGAGTTGTTAAACTCTGATACCATAAGAATGTTTGATTAATTCACCACACGTAAATGGTGTGAAAGTTATCTTATTTATAATCAAATAAATTACAAGATATGAAAATAATAATAAATGAAAATAAAAATAAATGGAAAGATATATTTGGTAAACTATAATTTATTACTAAATATTCTTAAAACAATCACTAATAAACCAAGTGTTACAAGTGAATACCTCACTATCACACTACTTAGACTCTTACCAATATGTCACTCAAGAAAACTCTCCCAAATTCCGATATCAAATTCCGATATCAAATCCTGATATATAACTAAATCTGGTATGACTAAATCTAATTCAAATTCCAATATCAAATTTCGATATCAAATCCTGATATATAACTAAATCTAATTCAAATAACCAAATCAAATCTAATCCAAATAACCAAGTCAAATAAGATCATAACTTTCTCAAGAAGATCTATGGATTGAGTTGGAACTACCTCTGATGCTCGACCACGAACGACGGCTGTAACTTAAAGATCGACTCTATTTTCACTAAATTGAAAAAAATGATGAAGCAACACTTCTTGACTTTAGGGATCTTATCGAAAAACAAGTGCTTGTGTACTATTTTTCCCTTCTACCTCTGATGCTCGACCACGAACGACAGCTGTAACTTAAAGATCGACTCTATTTTCACTTAATTGAAAAAAATGATGAAGCATCACTTCTTGACTTTAGGGATCTTATCGAAAAACAAGTGCTTGTGTACTATTTTTCCCTTTGTTGCTGATAATGTTGTAATTTCAATGAATTGAGAAATGCCATGGAAATAACCTCTTTGTATATAGATTTATGGATACATGAATTTGTGGGATACATGTACATGTGAGATCCATGTACTTAGAGAGTCAGGTCATTTGGTTGATACATTTATTAGATTATCACTATAATGGTAATATATATATATATGTAGGCTTGTTATTTAATATTTGGTATATGTATGACTATGGAGGATATTTCAAAAGGCTTATATAAGGACTATCTATATGTAAAGATTTGTCGTCACCTTTAAAATAGAATACAATCTCTTCCTCCAAATAGCAAATATTTGTCAATAAAACTGGTATTAGAGCCAAGTTAACTATGACTTCATCTAGTTCAATTCATGCCCGTGTCCCCTTAACAAAACAAACTATGGTTAATAGAATCCAAATGAATGGAGGCATGGTTGGGATGTATCGGAGCATGGGACCAATTATAGTAAATAGAATGGAGGCCTTGTTGGGATCTATGAGAGCATGGGACACCGTGGTGAATGAGTTGAAGGAGGAGGAGATGAAGAAGGAGAAGAAGGCGTTATTCACAATCCACCAAAGAGTAGATGACACTACGTTTGAGTTGATCGTCCATGCAAAAATCTTCTGAGGGATTAGATAGAGTGAAGAAAATCTGCTTACAATATTTACCCGTAGATTTTGAGGCTCTACATCAAGAAGATTCAACATCAATGTGTTTACTTCCATTGTGTAAACTCCATCATGTAAGAAATGAGAAGACATGACGAGAAGGTAGAAGAAGTACGAGTTGTGGAGAAGATTATGAGATCTTTACACTCAAGGTTCGACTACATTGACAATTGAAGAATCTAATAATCTTGAGGAAATATTAGTGGAGGAGCTTCAAGCCAGCTAAGAAAGGAGAAAGAAGAAAGAAGACGTGTGGAGCAAGCACTGCAAGCCAACTCTTCCCAAAAGAAGGATGGCTTCTCAAAAGGAGCCTATCTCGAGTAAGGGTAGCCTTGGTGGTCAAAATGGAGGACGAGGTGGTCGTAATAACTAATCTAATTTATGAAATAGCAATCACGTTGATGATACTAAAGGGAATAGTCATGGGAGCAATGAGTCGCGTGCTTGAGGCAGTGGTTGCGAATGGGTCCTTGTAACTATCCATTTATTGTTATTTTTATTTATTACTATTTTCATATCTTTATAATTTATTTGATTATAAATAAGATAACTTTCACACCATTTAGATGGGGTGGATTATGCAAACATTCACATGGTATCAGAGCTATTTTGGTTTAGCTAACCTGGATTCTTTCTTTTCAATGAGTTTTGAAATCTTCTACTGTTCTTCTCCACCACCACTGCTGGCTTTGACGCCGCAGGGGTAGTCGTCATGGCTGCCACATGCAGAGCTGATTGATTACTCTTCGACTCCACCCTTTTGACCGCCAAATCATTCTTCGCCATACTCTGGTACATACAACCTCACATTTTCCAAACATAGCCTCTTTCATTTTCTTCCCAATTTTCCCCTCATCCTCCATCCTTCACATAAACCCTAATCTTAGGATCTTCATCAGCGTTCTCTTCGGAAATATACAGAATCTCGATAAGCCCATCAACCTTATGCAGAGATTTACCTTTGGCATATGGGCGCCACACTGGCCTCTTCTCCAACCAAGTTGCCGCCGCCCTTCTCGCCCAAATTGGCTCCTTCGTCCAATGTGACGGCTTTTCTGGCTGCCCTTCTCGCCAAAATTGGCTCCTTCGCCCACTGTGGTGACTCTTCCGGCTTCAACATTGTCTTTGTCTCTTGCTCTAGGTTTCCCCTTCTACTTCTTGGGGTTAGACATATTCTCACCAGAGCCAAGGCAGCATCGTCGCTAAGCGACAATCCCTCTTCATGGGTTAGACATATTCTTGCCGAAGCCAAGGCAGTATCACTGCTGAGTGGCGATCCCTCTGTAATTTTCGATGGCCAAGAAAGTGTTTCTCTACACCTCCTCTAAACCACGTTGTTGACATTTTAACGAAAAGTGTTTCTCAACCTCTTTGAATTTTTCAAATTCAAGCTTCACGTTCGTTTAAATCCGACGCTTAACTTGCGATGGAGTGTTAAAATTATTTAGTAATAAATTATAGTTTACCATATATATCATATTTGATATTTTATTATAAGGCAAATATCTAGATATGTATAGTAAGAATGGCAAATATGTTTCAATTTATTGTTATTTTCATATTCTTGTAATTTATTTGATTATAAATAAGATAACAGTGGTGGATTAGGCAAACATTCACAGTTCTAAACCATAAAGAAGGCATAAGGTTTGAGGCTAAAAAATTTGAGCCATTCTAAGACAAGCCCTTTAGACTGAGGCTGAAAGTATCGATCTATTTGCCAAATGATCTTATTGTTTCTAGTCCTGCAATCTTTAGACTGCATCTATAGTTGGTTTTGTTTTTGGAGTGGTTTCTGAATTGGATATAATATGAGATGTTTCTGTGACCATTTACTGATTGATTATTTGAAATTGGAGTTGGGGTCCGTGTCATGATGATCGGGCTGTTGATTGGGAGTTGATGTATAGAAACAGCCAGAAGAGAGTAGTAGCCCTGTGCAGCTTTCCAAGGTTCCCTTCATAGCATTGCAGTTTCTTCATCTAATTTAACAGTTTATATCGCGGGAGAAGGATGATGGTACTCGGCGGAGTGCTGTCTCTGGCAAAAAGGTAACAGATCCATCTTTTAGTTGTTTTTGCACATTGACTAATGGCTGTGTATTAAGAATGAAGGAAAGAGGCATTATTAGCTGCTGCATGGAAAAATTTCAGTTCAACCAACAGTTGTGTGACAGACATTCAAGCCTGTGAACTTTCTTCTCCCTTTGATGTTTTGATGCATGTGGATCAAGATCTTGTTTTAATTCCTTATGGACAGGAATTGAAATTGAAATGACAAATGACTTAGCTTGTTTGATTTTGTTTGATGGGATGGAATGGGATGATGAATGGTTGATTGTTATTTCTTATGATTAGATTGTGTAAAATGCTCAAGCGCTGCCTTGCCTAAGCATTGTTTTTACAATGTTCACTAAACAAGTTTTCATGACAATCTCAGCTCCCCGTGTTGCAGCTGAGACCACTTATGGCAGGAGGAGGTGGATCTCATAGGGTTGAGATCGAACCAACTAATAGGTGACAAGTGATACTGATCCAGTGACTATCATGATCATGCTTATCCAAGACGTGTAGTCCAAGTTGCATGTCCATTACATGCCAAAACTCGTCTTGTAACTTTATCGCTTTCCTTTATTGCTTTCATGATTTTTGATTTCCTTGTCTTTTCTTAGTATGACGTTTCGGCAAAAACTTGTCTATGCATGGTAGACATGAAATGCTCTAGAATGTACTATATGGGGATGTGACTAGTCTTCAACTTCTCACTTAGATTTTGTATGACCATTTGGTGAAATTGTTGGTGACAACAAAAAAATTGAAATGAGATTGAGGGGAGGAGTGATTTGAGTAATTGAAAAGAGAGGTCATTTTATAGGACGGGATTTCATTGATTCCCAGAGTTGGTTGGGATTTTTGTGGATGAAATTGAATTCACCTCCTTAGTAACTAAATTCAAATTTCTATTATTAGCTTCAACACCCTCCTTAAACTGAATTCTGCATAAATCGGTTTAGGACTTCACTTCATCTTCTTCATATATATCTTGGATTCTGCACATCCCCATCTTTCTTCTAAGCTTCTCGAACAATTATTGTTTCAATGGTTTTGTGAATAGGTCTGCGATTTGTTCATCACTTCGGCAAAAGTTGAGTTCAATAATGCTTTCTTTACACAAATCCCCCAAGAAATGAAATCGAACATCGACGTTCTTACTCCTCCATGCAACACAGGATTTTTAGACAACTTAATAGTTGATATATTATCACAATATATAACCGTCGTACCTGATTGCTTCTGATTAAGAATTTCAAGCATTTTTCTTAACCAAATTGCTTGGCACGAGCATGCTGCTGCTGCCACAAATTCTGCTTCTGTAGTTGAGAGTGTTACAATAGGTTGCTTCTTTGAAGACCAGCAAATAGCTCCTGAACTCATCATGAAAATACTTCCTGAAGTACTTTTACGATCATCTATATCACCTGCATAGTCGCTATCTGTATAGCCAACCATCTTCGGATCATCTTCTTTCTTGTAGAATACCCCCAAATCAAAGGTTTCTCTCACAGAACGAAGTATCCTTCTTGCTGCATTGAGATGTTTTTCCGTTGGATGCTCCATGTAACGACTTATCATACTAACCGCATACATGATGTCTGGTCTTGTTGAAGTTAGGTACATCAAACTTCCCACAATTTGTTTGAAGTACCTATTATCAACCTCTCGCCCTTCAATATCCTTGTGCAACTTCAAACCCAATTCTGATGAAGTTCCAAATGTGCGCTCATCCAATTTAAATCTTTCAAATAATTCTTGAGCATATTTCTTCTGACAGATAAAGTTACCTGCAGGAGTTTGAGTAACTTCGACTCTAAGAAAATATCTCATCAAACCAAGATCTGTCATTTCAAATTCTTCATCATGCTCTTCTTAAAAAAATTCAAACATTTCTTCATTATTTCCAGTAAATATTAAATCATAACATATAAGCAAATAATGATAATGTTACCTCTCTTTTCAGTTTTCACATACAACGTATGTTCATACGAGCATTTAGTGAATCCCATATTTTCAAAATGAGAATCAATGCGACTGTACCATGCCCTCGGAGCTTGCTTCAAACCGTACAAAGCTTTCTTCAACTTGTATACTTTTTCCTCTTTGCCTTTTTGAACAAAATCTTCTGGTTGCTCCACATATACCTCTTCTTGAAGCTCTCAATGTAAGAAGGCCGATTTCACATCAAGTTGATAAATAGGCCAAGATTTCTGTGCTGCAATAGAAATTATGAGCCTGATAGTATCTTGACGTGCCACTGGTGCAAATACCTCCTTATAATCAATTTCATACTTCTGCTTGTATCCTTTTGCAACGAGTCGCACCTTGTACTTATCCACCTCACCGTTTTCATTCAACTTGGTTTTGATAACCCATTTTACTCCGATTGTTTTTTGTCCTCTAGGAAGATCACTGAGCTCCCAAGTCTTGTTCTTCTCTATGGATTTGATTTCACTGTCTATAGCTTCCTTCCATTTCTTCTCCTTTACCGCTTCTTCATAGACAATTGGATCACTGTCCATAAAGAATGCAAAATAACCACTATCATCGATTCATAGTCCATCTCATAATCAATCATCCAGTTTGGTCTCTTTCTTGTTCTTGGATTTCTTTGATTATGATCATGATATTCTTCTACTGATTCTTCTTGTTGAGCTTGTGATGAGCTCTCTTCATGCTCATAGTGAGGTTGAATAGGGGCTTCAGTTTGTTCTTCTTCAAGATCTATAGAAATCTGCTGATTCACAGTGATCTTTTCTTCCCATGTTCAAGTCTTCTTTTCGTCAAAGACTACATCACGACTTACCATCTTCTTTGTCAAGGGATCATAGAGCTTGTACGCCTTAGAGGTCTCGCTTACTCCGAGGAACACACACTTCAAACTCTTGTCCTCAAGTTTCTTCCTTTTCTCATTAGGAACGTGTGCATATGCTATGCACCCAAAGATTCTAAAGTGGTCTACTGCAGGTTTTCTTCAGCTCCATGCTTCTTGTGGAGTCATATCTCTAATAGAAAAAGTAGGGCTCTAGTTGAGAATGTGAACGGACCACACAACATATCTCTAACAGAAAAAGTAGGGCTCTGGTTGAGAATGTGAACGGACCACACGATAACTTCTGGCCAGAATTCCTTCGAGACTTCTTCTTTATTTAGTAAACTTCGAACCATGTTGAGAATGGTCCTGTTTTTCCTTTTGGCCACACCATTTTGTTGTGGTGTATATGCTGTTGTTAACTGCCTCCTTATGCCCTTCTCTTCACAAAATTTAATAAACTCGTTCGAGCAGAACTCTCCACCTCTGTCAGTTCTTAAAGCCTTGACTCTTCTTCCAGTTTCCATCTTCATAGTAGCACAAATTTTTTTGAAACAATCAAAGGCTTCTGATTTGGCGTGCAAGAAATAAGTCCATGTTTTTCGACTAAAATCATCGATGAAGGTCTTGAAATATTTTGTGTCACCATTTGCTACTGGAGAGATGGGACTACATATGTCTGAGTGAATCAACTCCAAAATTGCTTGAGCTCTTCTTGATTTTCCAGATGGAAAAGAATTTCTTTCATGTTTTGCTACTACATAACTCTTGCAAATTTCTGTTGGAGTAATATTTGGCAACCCAGTTACCATCTTCTTTGAAGACAACGTCTTTAATCCTTTGAAGTGTAAATGACCATACCCAAAATGTCAAAGCCAGGTGGTAGCTTCTTTCTTCACCATCAAACCTTTGGCAACGATATTTAATGTCAACGAGTATAGACGGTTGGTGGTCATCTTCATCTAAGCAATCGATCCTCTTTTGGAGTCATAAATCTCACATTCATCATTTTGGAATGTGATCACATACCCCTTTTCTTATAACTGACCAATACTAAGTAAGTTGGCCTTCAGATCAGGAATGTAAAATACATTAGAAATAGACTCTACAAAGCCATTTCTAGTCTTGCGGTTTCTTTCCTCATCACTTGGATAGTTGAATTGTTGCCAAGAGAAACCGTAGTATGAAAATTTTCATCCAGAGTTGAGAAGAATTCCTTACAACCTGTCATATGGTTGCTGCATCCAGAGTCTACGACCCATACACCTTGATCTGCAACCTTCATAGCATGGAATGACATTAATAATGTTTCTTCTTCGCCTCTCCAAAAAATTGGATTGATCTCTTTTCTTCTTTTGGAGCCTGGTATAGCATTCATTTTTGTAATGTCCAAGACGTTCTAGCATTCCACCTTGGACTTGTCAAAGTGTCTCTTGCCTTTGTTGTCATAATCGTTTATGACTAGATCTGCTGACCTGCCAACATCTCCACTTCTTTCTCGACTGCCTTTCCCACGACCTCTGCCTCTTCTTTGCCCTCTACCTCTAGGGCTTGGAGTTTCATCTGGTGTGGATATCTTTAAGGCTGTCATCTCCTCTATTTCACTTGTACGATTAAGTCGCTCTTCATGTACTAGCAGGGAGTTTTGGAGTTCATCTATTTGCATCTCTTCGACATTGTTTGCTTCTTCGATAGAACATACAATGTAATCGAACTTTGGAGTTAGTGATGACAAAATCTTTTCTACGACCGCAACATCCGTGATTAAACCACCATGCATCCTCATTTTACTTGAAAGACTTATAACCTTGCCAATATAATCATTCCCCGTTTCTCCCTTTTGCATTTGGAGAATTTCAAAGTCTCTTCTAACGGCTTGTAGTTGAGCACGCTTTACTCTCGTTGAGCCTTGATATTTCCTCCTCATAGAATCCCAAATTTCCTTGGATGTCTTCTTCTGAAGCATTGTTTCCAAGATAGTCCTATCAATGGACTGAAATAAATAGTTCTTGATCTTCAGGTCCTTCAACTTCGATGCTGCTAATAGTTGCTGCTAACCAACTGAGAGTACCTCACCTTCATTTGGCTCTTCATAACCCGTCTCCACCATATCGAAAAACTCCTTTGATCCGAGAAAATTTTACATCAACATCGCCCAATGATCATTCGAACCTCGGGATGGCGG